TCTTCTCGCTTCTTACCTCTTCTCCCCTTCCTAACTCGTGTGCTCGTATTCGTTCCTCGTTCTTAGAGCTTAGGAGGAACTAAACGACGATAACGCGAAAAAGAAATGCACACACACACACACACACGCGGTCTGAATATCGAGGCTGAGGCTGAGGAGGGGATAAGCGAGAGGGGTAAGAGAAAGTGGAGGAAACAGAGTCGGCGGAGAACTCGGTTTCGAACGGTCTACGATTGGTGGAGGGAAGAGGGTGAAGAAGGGGTGAGGGCTCGCGACCAGGCTCGTGACGTCTCGTCGCATAATGCACGCGTTTTAATTGCCTCCCTAGACACTCCACCGATCCTCGTATCAATGGGTCTCGGTGTTTTAATTGCATATTCGATTACGTGGACTTTCACCGCGGGCTGATCCCTCGTCAGCAATTATCGCTCGAGAAGACACGGCGGGATGCGTCCCGGGTGAAAGCTGATACTCGATCGAGAGAATCGAGCCTCCTTCATTTTCTGAAAAGGAAAATTAACCGGATTGGATGGACTTCCACGTGTCTTCGAGGTTCGGATTTTGGAAAGTCAAGGTTTTTATCGAGGGTTCATTGTTCCATTGAGAATTGCTCGAGAAGAGATGCTCCGAGAGGAATAGTTTCGCGTATTTTGCGTATAAATTTAATTTGAATTGGTCTCGCGGTGAAAAATAATTGTCTCGTGATTAAGAAATGATATTATTTTTTAATTTTATTATTTGCGACTGTAAGAGAATTAAAAGTATTTACGAAGATATTTGTAATATTCCAATACTTTGAAATTTTATGAAATCTAATCGAAAAACCAATTTGTAACTTATAATTAATTAATCAATTCGAAATTTAATGATACGATACTCAAGAACTTCGTTTCGTTAAATATTAATTTCGTATTACAAAATTATGTTTATTAACGTTCTACGATCATTAGAGGGCGCTATTATTTAACTTACTCTCTTTTTTAATAATTAAATTCCACGAAAATCATTGTAATTACTTAAACTGTCATTGCTTACATATCAACAATCACCATCAATATAAAAAACGTTACCAAAATCGAACATTTTACAATACAACTTTGCAATGACACATGTATAATTGCGAAAATGGTTGGTTTACAGTGGCGATTAATTCATTTCTCGCATCTCTTAAAAACAGAAACCGCCTCTCGATGAGGAGGAGGAGGAGGAGGAGGAGTATATCGGACCTGGCAATTTTCAAACGTTACGACTCAATGACACCCGAACGATCGTAATCAACTGTCGATTTCTTCGCAGAGATTCTCTCCTTCCGTTTCACGTATCGAGAAAGAGAGAGAGAGAGAAAGAGAGAGGGTGAAGAGAGAGATGAAGGGAGAAAGGGATGCAGGCAGAGAACGAACGATGCCGATACGCTAATGAAACCGCACTCTCATTAAAGCATCCAAATCGACGATACTAATTGGCTAGCTTTCGGAATACCCGGCATTATACCTCAGGATGCGATATAATAATCGTTGCGGACGAATTCGGGCCGGACAGCCGGTGGTTAAAGCGTCTAGTAATTTCATGGGCGCAGCCCTAGAGCGATTAATATGATTCCAACGGAAATTAACGACCGCAAACGGAAAAAAGGGAGGCTCGTTGGAGGAACGGCTCGTGGATCGTCGAAAAGCGGCCATCTTCGAAATGAGAGGATTGCTCAAGATTTGTTTCGTTCGAGGCGTATGCGTCGGATGCGCGACAATGTTAAGTAGCGAGAAGTTAACTCGCGACTTCCACTTTTCATCCTCTCTGTTTCGTTCGAAGAACGATTGATATTTCGTAAGATTTAGGCAGAATCTTGATCTATCTTTTTTTTATTTTGTGAAAAGGAAAGAGGAGGAGAAAAAGAAGAAGAAGAAGAAGGGATGAAGAAAGAAAAGAATAAGACGAAGTCGAGGAATTTTTATAATTTTAATGTAATTGATAACGATTGAAGATTTTGCATCAAATATTCGATGGATTTTTATAGTTTTAATTTTAATATCGTCGTTTCGTGACAAATGATTTTGATTGGATTCCCTCGGAATATCTATCCTTATTACTTTGTAACTTTCTTTTATTTTGGAGAAGAGATCAGCGATAGATTCGAGAAAATTTTATTCATCTTGACGTTTGATTTCATACGAGGAATGCTAGTTTTACCAGCTTTCCGCGGGATTACGTTACATTCCTTGTTATAAGAATCCTTTTTCCAGAACAAGCTATTCGAACTATGAGAAGTTATTATAGATTTGACATTTGATGACGATCTTGACTGACAGATTTAGATAAATTTTATTAAAATTGCTCGGCTACTTCGTTCCTAATTCTTTTTTTTTTTTTAAATAAAGATATCAGACTCGTGGAATATTTATAATTCTAATATCTTATATCGAGCGACAGACGATTATTCTATAAATTAAGCGAATCGTGTTACAATCCCTTTGCATCTATTTCGCATCAATGATTCTCACTTTGCATCAAATCTACAGCTACTGGAAGCAAGACGCTTCCACAAACTTTCTCCACGAACACACTTGACGTTCCACAGATAATCTCCTCGAATTAACTCGAACGATTAGATCACCAAGCCACAATTACACTCTGCTTAACCATGACCCCAAAATTTCAACCGTAATAATTCCCTCAATGAAAACGATTAATCACAAGTGAGTGTAAACACGGCCAACCCTTTCTCCAACAGTTCCTCCATACAGGAGGAATTCTTCCACAATTGGGCAGGGAAAAATTGCCAGACAAAATCGTCATGAAATCTCGCGCCTTTCACGAGCAATTAACCGTCCGCCTATAGGTTCCCAGAAATTCTCACGAATGATGCAATCCCGCGCGTTAATTCCCCGATAACGAGACACAAAACTACGGCAATTACGTGTGTTACGTGTACATCGGTGTGTACCAAGCCATCTCGTACACATCCACAACCAACCTGCATGCACGTCTAGACCAACCTCTCTCTCCTAGAGGAGAGTACCTTTATACATCACGGGGATAGGGAACACGGTGTCGTATCGTTTTTTTTTTTTTCCTTTTTTAAAAAAATACACCGTCCGAGAAATATTTACACGGTCTGCCATTATAAAACGCCTTTTATGAGGAACAAAGTAGCCCGGCCGGCAGAGAAGGTGCGCCCTTTGACAATAATTTGTCCAGAATAAACCGGCCACCGGTCTCTCTCTCTCTCTCTCTCCCTTTCTTTCGTACACAATCTCTGTTTCACCCCTCTAGCCCTGTTCTGCTTCCGCTCGATCATCCATCCAGCCGTTCGTCATAGGCGCACACGGCTTTTAAAAAAGTGAAGCGCTGGACTCGGGCCAGCGCAAAAATAGAAGCAGATGTTGTTAGTTGCGTTCAGTAAGTACACGGGCCGCGCCGTTTCGACGATGGATCCCTCGAGCTTTTGCCCCCGGGAGGAGGAGAATTAGGGAGGAGGGAAAAGGAAGCGATGGAAGGAGGATGGAGAGGATCGAGGAGGGAAGAAGGAGTAAGAAGGATCTCTTCCTCTGGAAGGCAGGCTGATCTCATTGCCCTTGAATTCTTACTAACTTAAAGCAGCTTAGATAAAAATAATTAGCCGGATAAATGCGAAGTGTCGCTAGGTGGCGCGCTCTGGTCGGAGGATTTTATTCTTGAATCCATCGGGTGCCATGACTCTCTCTCCCTCTCTCTTTCTCTATCCCCGCCTCGCCTCTCTTCTACTCGAACATTTTCGTCCGATGCCATCGACCAAATGTTTTTGCTTTGAAGTCGGGGAAGATGAACGGGGGAACCTCCTTCTAATTTCCACCGTCTGCATTCTTAACAGCTGCGCGCAACACGCTTCGATACGGCTGGCGGGAGAGGCCGTGTTTAATTAGTATCGTGTTTATGCGTGTCGCTGCCCTTTTAAGTTTCCCGGGGACAATTTCGAAATCCGTCGATCGCGTCGTTTATATACGCTGTTTCGCGGATTCGAACATCTCCTCGGGAAGGTCAGTGATCGTTTGGAGCTCGAGCCGAGAGGTCCTCGTCGCGTTGTTGTGCTCGAAATCATGTGACTCATCGCCGCGTGTCGCTCGGTGTTCGATCGAAATATGTTGCTGCCTTCCACTCTATGGATTTTACTAGTAAAAATATTTGAAATTGTTAATTGTTTATTAATAATTTTCTAATTCGTTTGTGTTATTTTTTTACCTTGTGTTCGTTTAATGTTGATTCGACTCGATTTTCCTATATCGAATTTAGGATCAGGGATCATGTTAATAGATTTTAGAATTAATCGATTTTTGTATTAAATAGA